GGCTCTAGTCTGTTGTTTAAACACTGCATCATACTCTACAAGGGTACAGAAAATTCTGGAACCTGTAGGAAAGTTGTTTGAATGAATAGGGTTGGAAAACCCTGAAAGGTAAAAATCTTGGCTTTTGTAGAAAAAATAAACAACCCAATCATAAGGTAGAGATTTTAGGGACCAAAACCCTTGGCCCCCTAAATTTTTGCTGAAAAATCACTGACATGAGGCAGATTGATTAATAGGAGAAAAAGCATAAAAATTTATTTAACATGTATGTATAGGAGCCTTCAGAATGAAGACCCCAAAGATACAGAGGAAATTGTCTATTTTTATGCTTGTGTTCAATAAAGTATGGATAACCATGTAGAAATATAGTTGGACAATATGGGTATGATCTTATGATAATAGACTGAAAGGGGAAACCCAGCAAGGCCTACCTTTCCAGATTCTTCTGGGCCTCTCTGAGCATACATTCCTTCCTTTTGGATGTGAGGAGGACCTTCTTTGGAATAGCAGTCTTATGACAGACAGGGCAGGTAATTTCTTTATGGTCAGTTTTACATAGAATAATTTTAGGTTTTATGGCTGGGTTTGGGAAAATAGATTTTAATGCAAAGGTCAATCTATAACTTTAAAATCCTTTCTAGGATATACATTTTCTTGTTCTTTATTTTTTCTGCAAAAGCCAAGCTTTTTACCTTTCAGGATTTTCCAATCCTATTCATTCATCCAACTTTTCTGGGGTTTCCGAATTTTTTGTGCCCTTGTGAAACACGATATAGTGTTTAAACAACAGTTGGGAGCCAAGAATGACTGGCTTAAAATCACAGCTCTAACACTGACTGGTTGTGTGATAACTCGCATAACTTGTATTCTTAGATAGGGAGCCATGACAAAGATGGTCTGGGGTAGAGGAACTGCAAGAGGAAAGTCTCAAGGTGAGAAAAGCTTTGTGTGTTCCAGAAACAAAAGGAGAGTCAGTGTGGCCTCTTCCTCTGTTTCCAAAGTGCATCACAATCTCTGCTTCTCTGCTCACTTTTCTCCTCTGACATCTGATCATCCTGGGCCTTCACTTACAAGGATCTTTGTGATTACACTGGGCCCACTCAAGTAATCCAGAATCATCTCCTAATCTCCAAAACTTTAATTTAATGACATCTGGAAATTCTCTTATACCACTTAAGAAAATACATTCATAGGTTCAGGAGATTAGGACATGGATATAGGGTGGGAGGGAGTTATTGTTTACCACAACTATAACAAGGAATAAGGCCTTTTAACATCATTGTTATAAAACAATTCCAAATCCCTAAAAAACATAAAACTCAACCAGAAAATAGTTAAGATTTTTTCTTTTTAAACTTTAAATTCTTAGTTGCCAGATGACTATAATTAATCATACATTAAAAGGGATGTTTAAAGGATATTGAATAGATAGCAGCATTCTTGGCATGGCTATAAAACTATGCCATAACACATTTCCAAAACTGTGCTGCAGAACTGATCCGGGGCTGTTGTGTCACAACTGCCACTGCTGAACTAGAACTCAACTTGACTGGAACCCATGGCTGCTGTCACAACCAAAAATTGGCCCATATGATATCTCTTATCCCAGCAGTACCAGAAGCCTTAAGCAGAGTTTCTGTTCTGTCTTCCAATTCTGAAGAGAAGTCTTTTAAATGTGTGACTGTTTGGTGAAACCCAGGCCACATATCTGCATTCTAGCTGCAAGGGGGTGGGTATTGAAGTTCTGAAGCAAGCCTACATGTGAGTATTGAAGTTCTGAAGCCTAGATAAGTGAAGCAATACTCTAACCTGAAAATTTCACAACTTTATAAAGGAAATAAATGAACCAGTATTTTTCAAACTTTTTGTCCTTCAAGTTCTATAGTAAAAATAAAATAAAAGGATATACATTTGAAACCAAAATTTTTTGACACGCTATTTTTTACTTATTATATGAGATGGTACATTGATGGTCTGAACAAGGGCAGGTCATGTCATAGTTGAGAAAAATGTTCTTTGTCTCAATGCTTTTGAACTCTGTGATCCCATTCAGATACGATTTGAGGAGTGTCTGCAAAGCATAACCTCTATTTATTTATTTATTATTTATTTATTTATTTATTTATTTTGAGACAGAGTCTCACTCTGTTGCCCTGGCTAGAGTGAGTGCCGTGGCGTTAGCCTAGCTCACAGCAACCTCAAACTCCTGGGCTCAAGTGATCCTACTGCCTCTGCCTCCCGAATAGCTGGGACTACAGGCATGTGCCACAAATCTTGATATTTGTGTAAAGGGAAATGGTTAGGGGAGAAGAAAGTTCTGAGGGAGCAGAGATAATGTTAAAGAGGTGTGATTTGTACAAAAGTATTGGTGGCCTTGATTGCTTGTTAATTTCATTGATTCATTCAGTCATTGCACATACATTTAGAGAGTGAACAATATGTGACATGTAATTTTTTTTTTTTTGAACATAGGGTCTTGCTCTGTTGCCCAGGCTGGAGTGCAGTGGCGCCATCATAGCTCACTGCAACCTTGAACTCCTGGGTTTAAGTGATTCTCCCTCCTCAGCCTCCCAAAGGGCTGGTATTATAAGCGAGAGCCACCATGCCTGGCCTGTGCCATGTAATTTTTGTAGGTTCTGAGAATTCTAAAATGAAGACATTGTCCAAGGTCTCAAAAAATCTTAAGAAGGCATTAATCATCATTAAATATTTAAGTGTGCAATAGCTATAATCATATAAGTGTATGCTGAAGTAGGGCTACGGACATGTGTGGAGGAGTGTGGTTTGTGAAATATAAGAAATCCTAGGTACTGACTTTGCCTGTGAGAATCAGGTAAAGGTCTCCTGAAGGAAATTTTTGAAGGAGGAAACCCCCAAAGGAGTCTAATGGTTATTTGTGGAAGAAAGACTATGTAAAGGATTACTGTTTGCAAAAATAAAGTTGCAAGAATACCAAGTTGTTCAGTACATTCAGCTGCAGAAATCCATGGTTGGGGAGAGGTGAATTGTAGAGGTGGGCAAGTATCAGATAAAGCACCGAAATTGCGTATTGTTCTGCAGATATTAGCAGAAACAGAGAAAGCTTTTTGTTTATTTTTGCAAAGATGGCATGACAAAATTTGCAGGTTACTCAAATCTCTCATTGCTGTGGGATGGACTGATTGTAAGATGGGAAGAATGTAGATGACCTGTAAGGTCATTGTAGGACACAGATAATAGGGCTGGAAGGCTGATATTTGGTTCTCTTCTAGGTACCTGGAGATGTCTATATATGGCACACTCTGGAAGAGATGACTCATGGACCATCCATGAAGTTATGAGTATGAGAAAGAGTTCATTGGGAAGAATCAAAAACAGGAATAGAACCCAGAAAAGCAAACTAAGAATTAGGAGCATAGGATCTGGCCCAGAAAGAAAGGCATTACAAAACCTTGTGAAGAGATTGTGAAGGCAAGAATAATAAACAGGGTCAGATGCAACAAATTAAGTTCTTGAAGAGTGTTTTTCGATTTGGCAATCCGTTCACTGGTAATCATGCCAAGGACATTTTTAATGAGTAGTTGGTGTAGAAGTCATGCAATCATGGAAAGGGTAAGGTGAGTGACACATGGGGATAGTGACTTTACATTACTTGAGCCTTAGAGGTTTGATAAAATATGAAGGATCTAGTAATTGATGCAAAGATTCAATTGAGAGACACTAAAATACATTTATATGTGGAGGAAAAGGAACCAGAAGAACATCGAAACTTAATTGGGATATCACTGGTTTTCAATGTGACCAAATTTATTTTCTGATTAAGTTATTAACAGTAGAAGGAAGATTCTTTATAATTATAAGACAACGGGTGCATACTTAAGCTGGTAACCTGGGATGCTTTCACCCTTAGGTTTATGTGAAAAGTCCTCAAATGGGAAGATTAAGAACACAGGTGACAAACTACCTCTCCAGCCTGGGGGAAAAATGTTACGGTTAGAATGCAGCAGGGTCACAGGTGGAAAGGCCTTAGGTAGACAAAACACATGAAGGAACCAGATCCTATTTGGGGAAATAAACAGTAAAATGATCAATAAAACTGAGACATAAACATATGAAGGAACCAGATCCCATTTGGGAAACAGTAAAATGATCAATAAAACCGAGATATTAGTACCAACAAAGGCTTATAAGACTATACTTAGAGAAAAACTAAAAATGCTTTCACCTTGAAAGGTGGTCTTATCATTAACCTAACAGGAAAATAAACTATCAAAGATAAAGTGAAAAAAATTAACTCACAAGTACTCTTTAATTAAAACACATGTGGCCTAACTTATGAGTTCTTTCTTAGCCTTGAAAAAGTTCCTGAGGGGACAGTTAGAAGTGCAAACTTCCCTTGCTTCCTAAAGAGACAGTACCAGATGCCTCCCACTGTCAAGAAACTTCTGCTATCAATCTGGTATGAGAAAAAAACAGAAAAAGCCAAGTTTCACAGCCGGTACCCTGAAGCAGAGAGGAAAAAAACCGCCATTTCTACCCTTTTAAAAGCTACAACTTTTCTCGTTGCCTAATATTTTCTTCCGCTGTGTCGCGGCCACCTTTTTTCAGGTAAATGAACTTTTTTGCTTCTGTATATCCTAATCACTGTCGGAAAATTGCCCGCCCCAGACCGCTGTTACTACTAACTCTGCAAATATCGTTAGATAAGCCAACGTGAAAGACAGCTGCCATTCTCAAAGTACCTTCAAATTTAAGGGCTTATTTTCACGTTTCTTTTGTCCTGAGCACGCGAGATCCGCTATTTTGAGGTAGCTGCAGACATTGAAAAACACTCAAGTACCCTAAGACATACAGAAAAGTGGCTTCGATGTGTGCAAGTTGGAACTGGACAAAGCGTTGATTAAACAAAGCATAAAACGTTACTTTCGTCTCAGTGATAACCCTTCGTGTGATAAAATGGGTGGCCCTGAAAAGGGCCTTTTGTGAGCGCTTTGTCTTAAGAAGAGGAAACCAGGGGCAGGTTAGCCACCAAAGCCGTAAAGAGTGCGTCCCTGGCGCTTGAGTGCGTAGACAACGTCCATAGCCGTCACCGTCTTGCGTTTAGCGTGTTCCGTGTAGGTAACAGCATCCCGAATCACGTTCTCCAGAAACACTTTGAGCACACCCCGAGTCTCTTCATAGATGAGGCCGGAAATGCGCTTAACACCACCACGGCGAGCTAAACGACGAATTGCAGGTTTGGTGATACCCTGGATATTGTCACGCAAGACCTTACGGTGGCGCTTAGCACCCCCCTTGCCCAGGCCCTTTCCCCCTTTCCCTCGGCCAGACATGCTCAGCAGAAAGTGGCAACTACAATGTTAAAGCTTCCAAGCATGATGCAGCTTCTTATATATCAATTTTGCGGACCTTTTTGAAAACTGAAACAGCGGGGCGGGAACGAAATCTCTGTCCCCGCCTCTTCTCTACCTTACTGGGCGTCCCCTACCGTTGCCTAGGGAGAGAAAGGGCGTAGAGAAGTGAGGAAACGCATCTCTGTCTGGCTCCTTCCTGTTTCCCTGTCTGGGTCCTGAATTACTGGTTTCTGTGTCCTCTAGTCCAGTGCCTGTGGGCTCTTTCAGAGAACTAATATTGTATTAATACAAGTCTCCTAACTGGTTTTATTTGTGAAACAAAGGCAGTAAAGCTGCATGTTTACAAAATGGAGAGCTACCACAATAAAATTAATTTTTAAATGTGAATATTCTTTAGAAAGATGTGTTATTCTAAATTCTTACAATCTACCAATATTCATTATAAAATTTGGCCAGTCATGAAACGTTGCGTTTGACACAGGCATGCATAAATTGTTTTCAGCACTTTTTTTTTTTTGTTTGACACAGAGTCTCACTGTGTTGCCCGGGCTAGGGTGCCGTGGCGTCAGCCTAGCTCACAGCAACCTCAAACTCCTGGGCTCAAGCAATCCTTCTGCCTCAGCCTCCCGAGTAGCTGGGACTACAGGCATGTGCCACGATGCCCGGCTAATTTTTTCTATATATTTTTAGTTGTCCGATTAATTTCTTTCTATTTTTAGTAGAGACGGGCTCTCGCTCTTGCTCAGGCTGGTTTCGAACTCCTGAGCTCAATCTGCCCGCCTCGGCCTCCCAGAGTGCTAGGATTACAGGCGTGAGCCATGTTGTCAGCACTTTTGATAAACAGGGAGCTCTGGGAAGGGGTGCCAATATTAACTGAATTTACATGTTTTGTGTTCCAATTTATAAAGCACTATGTGCGGTGTTAATATGAGGAATCCCCGACTGGACGACCTAATCGTCTACTAAGTGGTATTGCTGGGCTTGACTTTGGAGTCTTATGACTTTGCTGTCACTGTTTCCATGCCAGTTAAGAATTAACATTACATTATGGTGAATAAACCTTTGCAAATCAACACTAATAAATTCTGTGAAATAGTGTCTTAATGAAAAGAGTATCTGAACTAAAGTTCTACACACAGATCATAGGTTGATATATTTAGTAGACAAATTTCAACATTTTCTCGCACATACCACACATTCACATTTAGTACCTTTTATGTACTACAGAGGTAATTTTTAAAAATCCCTTTTCTGCTGGTGCTTACCTTATAGGAAGTCAGAAGATTATCCATTTCTTGGAGTTAAGTCTACCTGGGATTTAGTTTAGGTCCAGTTACCTGCAGGTATAAACACATGGGTCTCCCATGCTCTCCTTTTTGATAAAGGCACCAAACAAGCATCATTCATTCCTTCAACAATTTAGAGTCTACTACAAGCCAAGAATGGTGTACAAATACCAGGTTTACAAAGATAATAATCACATCTGTTCTTTTAAAGAGCTCAAAGTCTGGTAAAGGGAAAAGAAAAGTAAACTCAGAGTGAGGGGTCAGACATCAGCCCAGTATACTTCTAGCTGCTGCCTAGTTTCTATGGGTGGAGCATCACCTGGAAGCTTGTTAGACATCCAGAATTTTGGGCTCAACCCCAAATCTACTGAATTCATATTGCATTTTTAATGAGATCTCCAAGTGGGTTATATGCTCATTCAAGTTTGAGATGAATTGTTTTAAAGCTGTGCTGTCCTATATTAGCCACTAGCAACATGCACTCATTTAATATTAAATTAATTAAAATTAAAAATTAATGTCTTCAATCACTCTAGCCACATTTAAGTGCTTAATAACCACATATGGGTAGTGGCTACTTATTGGACAGTAGATACAGTACATTTTCATCACTGCAGAAAGTTCTCTCGGGCTGGGCTGTGCTATAAGGGATTTCTTCAGATGAGTTTCTAATTCAGACGAGAAGGGAAGGGGAAAGAAGTGTGCTGAATGCCTGGGTACCCAGGAAGTGAGGATTTAGAGTATTTTTGAAGTACAATAGAAACTAGCCAACTTCTGGGTGTACCAGATATTACAGATAGAGAAAAAGACATATATAAAGGAAAGTGGACATTTTTTTTTTTTTTTTTTTTTTTGAGACAGAGTCTCACTGTGTTGCCCGGGCTAGAGTGCCGTGGCGTCAGCCTAGCTCACAGCAACCTCAAACTCCTGGGCTCAAGCGATCCTTCTGCCTCAGCCTCCCGAGTAGCTGGGACTACAGGCACGCGCCACCATGCCCGGCTAATTTTTTCTATATATATTTTTAGTTGTCCGATTAATTTCTTTGTATTTTTAGTAGAGACGGGGTCTCGCTCTTGCTCAGGCTGGTTTTGAACTCTTGAGCTCAAACAATCCGCCCGCCTCGGCCTCCCAGAGAGCTAGGATTACAGGCGTGAGCCACCGCACCCGGCCAAAACTGGACATTTTTATAAAATAAAATTAATACACCATAATTGTGCTTGGAGGGGAGTTTCAAGGGGCCAGTGTCCTTAGGTAAGACCATCTGGCAGAAAATTAAAATAAGTATGATTTCTCATGGACTTTCTGAACACATTTGATACTAATACAAAGCTCTATTTTCTGTATAGTCCATATTTTCTTTGCCTTTTTTGTTATTCATTCTACATAGTCACCTTTCTTTTGAAAACTTTGAAATTCACTGAATTATGGAATACTTAAGCACTGCCCCTGTGGATTGACCTAGTGAACACTACCTGTATCTGTCAGTCATTTACTATGGTGGTGGTGGTGGTGGTGGTGGTAGTGGTGGTGGGGTTAACACAAAATTTAGAGAATATGAAGTTGTAAATCAGTTAGCTATCACTTATCTAAAGAGTTTTTGTTACCTATTTATTACATCTGTGAAATAAATAGTTCACTCCTTAGTGTAGTGTACAATCTACTGTTTTAGGTTATATACACATTTAGGATCCAAAAGCAATAAAAAAACTTTTCTTGAGGGCTACCTCAAAATAGGTGAAACTTTTCATGACTTCAAGTCTGCAGTCCCAGGGGGTGACCCAGCTTTCAGGAACCTTGTTCATGCTACAGTTTCAGAGAAAATAAGCACCTGGGTGCTTATTTCAAAGATAAGTAATAACACAGTAATTACACCAAATTCCTTCTATAAACATCTGGAGAACTTTATTGGCAAAACTGAATCTCAGTATTGTCCTCCAGGAAGTGTAGAGATTTACTTACAATTAAGGAAATGGCCCTTATCCCCAATGCCTTTGCACATATTAGGTACCTAACTAGCCATGGGAACCAGTAAGTGTTACATAATAATGAAACGATGATATCTTCTAATTGAATCTATCTAACTTGGTGAGCAGTTACAATTACTCAACAACTGATATTATGACTACCATAATGACCAAAATAATAAACATTTAGAAATCTGAATTTTAATTGTATTGTTTTGTCTACATAATATAAAGCTATAGACTCAAAAAAGAAAAGGTCCTATAGTATTCTTGTGACTATCGCTATTGACAATGATGGCATCAAAGATGACATGCGGCCCCTTCCTACAGGCACCGATAAAATGCCTCTCCACATGAATAATTGAGTATTGCTAATCCAGTTCTATGTGTTTGCCTCCTTTACACACAGTATTTGTATATTTTTTTTGGCATATAACATATTCTTAAGTCCCAGAGACTTGGTTCCAGTGTTTGCCTGCCAAAAATTGATAATTTAAAATAAGCCAAGTGATTTTTGTGGAATTAGTTGAATAAGGAGAGATGACATCTTTAAAGTTGGTTATTTTATTTTGGATTTATATGAAAAAATTCCCAAATCACCATTCAGCATAGGCAAGAATAAGTAGAATGTTGGAAATATGAGTATTTTTATTAGGAGAAATATAATGCCAAAGTACCTTTCTTATTCATTTCTTTATTTTAACTAACAAACATGGGGGTTAATTTCAGTATCTGATTATTTGATGGAGAATATTAAATTTGTGCTTACTTATCCTATAACAAGATAGTTCTATCAGGTCTATTGAATTGTAAACTAAAAGAGATGTAATTATAAAATCACGCATGCTTGCTATGAAATGATTGCTCAACTCCTTAGGTGGACACATTCAGCCAATTAATTTAGGTTGTGACAGCCTTACTCATTTGTTGTGAGTAAAAAGCCTAAGGAGAATTATGAAAATTCACAAAGTGATTTAAATGAGAATTTTTTTTTTTGTAATCCTTTGTGTCCATACTTGCAATGTTGGAATTTGTATTTTAACTGTAATTTTGAAATATAGAAAATACATACAAAATTCTATGCTAAATATTGAGGGAAGAAATCTTATGGACTGAATGTCTTTCATTAAATTATTTACAATTTTAAAGAGATGGGACATGATCACATAATTTCTCAATGCTTATAGCTTTCAATTCTCACATCTGGTAACATGATGTCTATCTGCTGTTCTAAAACTCCATGATTCAGTTTTCTTTCTTGTAGATGTGGTGTTTGGCCTCTAATGCCAATTCTAGGTCTGAAAAATCTATGATCCTCATTTTTAAGAGAAGGTTGGTGATTCTATTTAGCAATGTTTGTCTAAAAGACAAATTGGAGCAGTCTCAGTCTCAACTCCCTGAAAAATGTTCAAATTACTAAAACCCAGGGATCAAGTACAGCTTATATACTGGTAACCCAAATACTATTTTTTTAAACCTATCTTTTCTAAAATAATCATCTGTCTTGTACATAGAACTTTCTACCCCAGTGCCAATTCCTAAGAACTTGATGCAAACAGCTTGCAGGAGCGCCTGTGCTATTGCTCCTGCGAAAAAATCCGATTTCCCTATACATTTTAGTAAATATGAGTTTATTTATATAAAGTTGAGAAGATAAGAATACGCAGAACAATGCCCTGGAAGGGAGATTTGCAAATGTAACAGAGAGAAATAATATTTTTAAGGAAAACCTGAAAGTTGTCTCGATTTGACCAAAGTTTGAAAGAGAGTTGGGGGAATCAGGAAAGTTTCAGGGTACCAGTTTTGAAACTAGGTATAGAAAATGAGGCAGGAATGAAGCCCAAAGTCTCTCGGATCCGTTTCCCCCAAATCCCTAATTATTTCATGCCCAGATTTCTTATATTTTTATCCTTTTTTAAGGGGCAACAAACACAGCCACGCGGCAGAGCCGAGGAGCCCTTCTCTAGCAGCGCGGCGCATGGAACAGGGAACCAATCATCACTCAGCGTCTCTCTATATAAACCCTCAGCCTCTGGCGCAAAGAACACGCTGTTCTGACAGTTTGAAGTTACTCTTGGGTTTTCTGGCAAAACAGAACCATGTCGGAAACTGCTCCAGTTGCTCCTGCTGCCCCTGCACCTGCGGAGAAAACACTTGTGAAGAAAAGAGTGAAGAAAACAGGCGCAGCTGCTGGGAAACGCAAGGCATCTGGGCCCCCAGTGTCTGAGCTCATCACCAAGGCTGTGGCCGCTTCCAAGGAGCGCAGCGGCGTCTCCCTGGCAGCGCTCAAGAAGGCGCTGGCGGCTGCCGGCTACGATGTGGAGAAAAACAACAGCCGTATCAAGCTTGGTCTGAAGAGTCTGGTGAGTAAGGGCACCCTAGTACAGACCAAGGGCACTGGCGCTTCTGGCTCCTTCAAACTAAACAAGAAGGCAGCCTCTGGGGAGGCTAAGCCCAAGGCAAAGAAGGCGGGCACAGCCAAGCCCAAGAAGCCCGCTGGAGCAGCCAAGAAGCCCAAGAAAGCGACTAGCGCCGCCACCCCGAAAAAGACCGCTAAGAAGACCCCAAAGAAAGCAAAAAAGCCGGCAGTAGCTGCTGGGGCCAAGAAAGTGTCTAAGAGTGCGAAAAAGGTGAAGGCAGCTAAGCCGAAAAAGGCTGCTAAGAGTCCGGCTAAGACCAAGGCTCCTAAACCTAAGGCAGCCAAGCCTAAATCTGCTAAGCCCAAAGTTACCAAGGCTAAGAAGGCAGCTCCTAAGAAGAAGTGAAAAACTGGCGGGATGTTCTGCTTTGAAAATCTCAAAGGCTCTTTTCAGAGCCACCCACTGATCTCACTCAAAAGAGCTGAACCTGTTACTTCTTTAAATTACCGCCACGATGTGTGATTGGCCACCCGGTTGCACTACGCAGGGCACGCGCACGCAGTAGCTCAGATGCAAGATGGGTTACAATCTTTAACAAGGGTTTCACTTTGAAAAGATTTAGTTTCTAGTGCAGAGGAGGTGGTGTAAACACTTAACCCTTAAGGTAACTTTGTCTTGGGCTAGACGCCACCCGCGTAGTGCTCTCACGGTCCAGGAACTTGTGCTTCTGGTCGTTACTGGTTGCCAGCTGCAGATGGCGCCGGGTGCGCGTCTACTCGCGGGTGGAGTTACCTGCCAGTTCGAGGATCTTGGCCTGGTACTCTACCACCACCGCCAGGCACGCCGACACGCCGGTCTCTATGCGCTCAGAGTAAGTTGCCTTTGCTGAGGAGGCCCTATATTCTGCCTACTGTGACCTGTAGCTCTGTGCAGGAAGAGCGGATCTTGTTCTTGGCATGAGTGTGGCCTCCTCGGCTCCGGTGCCCAGACACGTTAGAAAAAATGCAAGTCTATGAATAGGCCAATTGTAGGAAGGGGTTATTACTATGCTCTTTGGCTCAGTTTCGTAAAACTTGCTTTCCTGTTGGTTTGCAGAGGCTGTTAAAGTGGCCAATCAGAACGTAGTTTTCGATTTATTCGCATAGTCTTCCGAGAGAGAAAATAATGTGCCAAGCAGAGGTTTGGATATTAAAATTTGTATATACTGGGAAACGGTCGAAAAGCCTGGCTTCACCCGCGCCCCACCCGCAAATCAATGGAATTCTCTTTTTAGAGACCCGCTGACATTGCTGTCATTCTGCTTAAATCTGCGTAATCATTGCTATCACCCTGATGCTAAGAAACAGAGTAAAATGTAGAAGGGTTTTTTTCGCAGTTTATAGTCTACTCCCTTTTCCAGATTGCTTCCTCACAGGTTACTGAGAGGACCAGGGAGTCAGGATTAGCTGTCTAATATCTGGTGAGTAGATAAGGAACTAGGAGGGAAAAACAAAACTTTAGAAAAGGTTGAATGGAGCTTGAAATTGGGGTCATCAGTTGAAAGAAAATAAGCTATAGGAAGATGGGTTGACCTGATATATCTCACCATTTCCATTTCATCCTGGAGGCTGAGGCTTTTTCTTTTTGACTTTGGGAAAACCCACTTAGTTTTACTGATACATTCTGACAAAATATGACTTCTGCAGACATTTATGGGACTCTGGATGGGGGGAAAATACATCTTTATATTCACAAACCCTAAATACAATTTAATACTCCCTTTAATTGTGAGCACAGGCAATTCATCACTGGATTTCTTAGTACCTGTGACTTTTTCATCAATGGAAGACATTTTCATATCACTTTGCAGTTACTGCAGGGATCTTGAAATAAAGTTTACACTCATTGTCTTTCAAACTGACATTCATTATTAAACTTGCCGCTGGACCTTATTATTTGATGTGTTTGTAAAAATGCACACATATTATACATACTTTTAAAAATCGGTAACTGTATTTTAATGTCACTACTTTATTATCCTGTATATTTTTATGTATTTTTGTAAAAAATCCGTTTGAGAAGGTGTGTACAAATTTCCACAGACTCTCCAGAGTGCACAGCACAAAACAAATCATGAACTCCTGAGCAGGTCTCCAGCAGGACCATATAACATAAATCCCTCATGATTAAAATACCTCTGTGTCTTATTTGTTTACATTCCCTTTTTGGTTAATAGTGTATTAAATTTTACGTCCTATTTAAACTTATGGGAAAAAAAAAAAAAACGTAGCTTGTGAGTATCTTTCTTGTTCTCCTAAACAAGAATTCAGGTTTTTTTTTGAATGACAGCTACATCCCACAATGTCTTTTTTCTAGAGAAAGCAACAAAACCTTCCATTATGAGAGTGGCTTGGTCGAGAAAGAGATCTGAATAAATGGAAGAATATGAAATACCCACTCAAAATAATCTTTTTGAAAATAACAGATTGAATCATGGAGTGGGAAAGATAAGGTATGTGGGTGCCAGCAAAACACCCCTTTGCTCTCTGAAGGTTCGCTGAAAATCAACTGACAAAAGACATTAATAGAAAAGGCAAACAAATTTATTTGATTATAATTTTATGTAATGTAAGATCCTTCAGAATGAAGACCCAGAGATATAGAGGAAAAACTGTCCATTTTTATGCTTAGGTCCTACAAAGTAGAACAGTTATGTAGAGATATGATTGGGAAAAAGGGTACAATCCAATGCTAACAGACTGAGTAGGGAAACCCAGTAAGGCTTGTCTGTCTGGTTTCTTCTTGGCCTCTCTGAACATATATTCCTTCTGGGTTTGGGGCAGGACCCTCTCTGGAATGGGGGACTTAGACAGTCAAACAAAGTAGGTCAGATAATTTCTTTATGACTAGCTTTTACAAAGAAAGACGGGGAAAAGTTAGTGTCATGTTTTTAGGTTTTATGGCTAGCTTTGGAGAAACAAGGTTCTGGTTTCTATGACCTACCTTGGGGAAGAGGGATTCTAGTTTCTATGGCCAGCCTCAGGGGAGAATGAGGGGCCAGAGACTAGAGAGCAGGAGAAGGTCAGAGAGAAACTTTTGATTCTGAGGCTGCAGAGAGAAACTTTCACTTCTGAAGGACTCTATTTTGGGGTATCGGTCTCTGAGCCTTAACAAGGGGAATAGACATGGAAAGTCGTTAACACCCAGAGAGTTAGGCTTTTGATGACAAGTGATGATGAATAAGAGATTTATGTGGGAATATGGCATTCAGCAGTCCACATGACTGTAACATATCTTTAGTTCCCCAAGGTTTACAAAGCACTTCTGTAACTGTGCCAGTTGGCCCTCACTATAACACATTTACAGTAGGTGTAACTAAAATCCTTGTTTTAAAGTTTATAAAACTGTAGGCCAGGCATGGTGGCACACGCCTGTAGTCTCAGCTACTTGGGAGGCTGAGGCAGGAGGATCGCTTGTTGCCCAGGAGTTTGAGGTTGCTGTGAGCTAGGCTGACCCCATGGCACTCTAGCCTGGGCAACAGAGTGAGACTGTCTCAAAAAAAAAAATAAATAAAGTTAAGAAAACTGTTAATTAGAAAGGTGAAATGACCAGAAATGACCACTAACTATCAGGATATGGTGGAGTTGGGTCTCAAACAGGTTTCTTGATTCCTAGTATCATTTTCCTTGCACTGCTCTCCATCTATTACATCAAGAAAAAAACGGGTAGAGTTTTCCAGGTCTTTTTGAGGATCACTGAGAAAGAAGCAGAGTTCAGGTATTTCAATTTTAGGCCATTGTGAGCTATCCATTTCACAAACCTTTTGGAATACAAAAGAAGCAATTAAACATAATAATTTAATCCATGACCTCCTAGAGTTTTACTCTCATTTACATAAATTCATATTCATATTCCTTTGCCTTGGACAGGCCCTCATTTTCAAGGACACTCAAACTTATTTAAATCTTTCTCCGTTTCCCAAAATTTTTGTAGCAGTTACATCAAGGTTACAATGAATGTCTTAGAATGGATAAAGAAGAATAAAGATGTCTAACAATGGAAGTTGTGAAGGGCATTTCCATATTATCTTATCTGCTGGACAGTACTTAGCCTGTGGTATAGGTCTGAAACAAAAACAATTTTTAGGAGCAGCCTGCAATCACTACTTTCTCCCTTCTTAGTAATTGCCTGGCTCCTTTTAACTGGAGGAGGCTTATTTTCATGGTACTGTGTGGAGGCCTCTATTATTCCTGTAACTCAGTCACTAAATCATGTTGATTTTTAAAGAATTCTCAGTAAATCTGACATTTTCTCCCTTCTTACATTTTCTCTTCATCCTCTCACAGCTGGGGTGATTCCACTGCTTCCTAACCAGTTCCCTAACTAGTTTTAATGATCTCTAATTCCTAAATTCTGGTCATTTAGCAAAAACGAAAACAAAATATGCCTCATCAAGAGAGTTACTGGCTTCCCGTTGCCTTAAGTTCAAGTGAAAATTCTGTAGTTTCTATTCATAATAATACCTTCTGCTCACAGGAACAGGCACTAATAACTCAAACCTCTCTATTCCTTCCTTTTTAATCTTTTTTTTTCTTTTTTTTTACAGTTCTGTTCTCCTGCAAATCTCTCTACCAATGAGAATCTTTCCAATGTTCCAATTCCATCTCAAATTATATTTCCAAGAACAGATTTCTCTAATTTAAATTTTAAAATTATTATTATTTAAATTTAAAATATCTTTGTAATGTGCTTTCATGGCATTTAATAGTTCATTACCATTATTATCAACAGAAACATTTCAATGCATCTATTTTTTTCTCTCATTAACTAAACTGAACTCTAGAATAGAAGTCTTGTCTTCGTTTTCACTACCGTGTTGTGTGTGTATAATTGACTGAGTCTTTTTATTCCTATCAAATGGATTAGATTATTGCCAGATATTAAATTCAGTGATTTTGTTTTCTGTTTTCGTGTGTAGGAAACTAAGGATAATAAATTCTTCTGCCCCTTTTATGACCCTTCTCTCCATGGCCTTATTTATAGATTATCTTCCTTATCTTCTGAATTATACCATTCCAAGTTATTGGAGAAACTACGAAAGAAAAATTAAATATATATATATACCTTTGCAGTAAAAAATTTATAACTTTGCACTAAAAGTTCTCAGATATAAAATATCAATGTTTACTGTGGGCAGATGGGGTAGGGAGGATGTGAAGAAATATTAATAATAAAATAGGATTTCTTAATTGTCTTGATTTTTAGCTCTTATTTCTGTAAGATAAAGCTACTGGTTATTTAGGGCTTATATACTGTTATTAAAATTATATGTACTTGCAGGCAAACATAAACCTGAAATAGATATACAACAAAATATACCAACAGGTACATATAAAATGTGACCTGACAAATCTGTCAGATTTGTGATCTTCCGTGAATAAAATTACAATTTAATTTAAAAACATCTGCTAGTAACCACTACTATCTCAGGGTATGGTATGCCTTTTAGAATTAAAATAAAAAGATTGTGAGTATGTGGCTAATTCATCAATACTATTAGTTGAATGGTAAGCAGAAGGGGTAACAATTCTCAATATTACGGTTATATTTTTGTTTGTGTATCTGTTACATTTCTGTGCAATTTGCTGTAATAATTATAGTGTGATAGAACTTCACAATCATATAGGATCCTGCAAATGTTTAAACCCAGTCATTTCTTTTATCATATACAAAAAAATTAAGATTGTGCCAACATAAAGATGTTAGTCTTCCTTTGACAGCTTTTCCAAGTGATAAAGCCCTCAGGGGTAACCAGTGAGGATTATACTGATGTTGATTGTTTAAAACAGTAAGGCCGAGTAAGGATAGGTTTGGCTCTAACACTTATCTGAAACTTTTTTAGTTTTAGTTTCCTTATCAGTTTAGTACTAATAGAATAATATTTATGAATATTAGATTGTAGATAACTATTGAATTTATAATTTTGGAGGCTTAATAAAATAATACACGACCTCTGGACTATTGCAACCACTTAATAACTATTGATTTTTTCCTATTTAGGAAAACTATGTATTAAAATTACATACACTCTAATCTTTTATTTGGTAACTAGGAATGCACCAAATGGTAACGTCTGTTTGTTCAGTAATCTTTTATTTTAAATGTCACTTTGACTAGATAATTTCCTGAGGGTTTGTTTTAGGCAAAGGACCATGCTAGTTGTGGATCTAATAATGTAAGAAGATGCTTTCTGTTCCCACTAAGTCCTCATATCTTGAAGTCTAACAGTTGTGAGACAGAAACACGGGTAAAAAACATACTGAGCTAAAATCTCTAAGAAAGTACAAATAGGGGAAACTACATTCAAATATGCAAGGCCTTTATCCACCATAATAGGGAATCACTATATTACAAATTTCTAGGACTCCATTTATTTTAATTATGAACAATTAAGCATTATTCCTCATGTACTAAGACTCCCCAGCTCACAGCACCCAAGTCTTTATGTCTGACAGGCTTCCAAGAAGAAAAATTTCCTCTATAAGATCTACAGGACCTCTTACAATGGCTACCTTGGACTGTGTATTTATTTGTAGCTTTGTCACTATTAATTGTATCACTTGACAAACTTCATTCCATAGTGATATTTTGGGGGAAATGGCACATTTTAATAAAAATAGAAACTTCTCAATTACAGGTAAAGATACTACATCTCATTTCGAAACTGAGAAATTTGCTAAAATGTTTAAACATAAAATGCTTTTAAACAGCATATAATATCCCAAACAGTAAACATCCTTTTACATTTCCAAATAACAACCTGTATAATTTCGGAACAGAATTCCTTATTTCTCTTCCTTCAGCTACCAGTTTAGAAATCGTAAGGAAACTGTTAGGGAATATCTGTTTAACATGGTATAGAAGTAACTGTGCTTTTGTATGGATGAGAAAGCAAGAGCAGAATACTTCTTACAAGAGAACTTTCAAAACTGCCAAAGGATTTTTATGTTTTAATAAATGTCAGGTACTTTCATGAGACTTGATTTAGACATTAAGATAGGTAAATTACAAAAGTTGAAGTTTCCTTTGAGAATGTTAGCTGTAAAAAGTTGAAAAGTCTCATGATTTCTGCATTCTTCATTCACACTAAGCAGTAATGTTTGTGACACACCCATCTGCTGTTTGTTGCTTTGGCTCTTGCAGTTTAGACCTGGGTAAGGCTGCTAAGTCCGTAAAAGCCGTCTGTCAATGCCACGGGTCCTTAGGTGTTCCAGCTAATGACCTAAGCCTTGGCCCCGGTATCAGAGCCGCGGGGGTGTATATCTGACCACTCTGAGGAAGGAGCTAACGTTCGCCAGCAAGTAGCTGGGTCTCAAAACCTTGGAGAACAGGGTACCTTAACGGAGACCAAAAGCGCTGGCTTCTTGCACTGCTTCAAGCTCAAAAAGAATACACTCAGGAAGACCAAGCCCAGAGCGTTTAAGGCTTGTTCACGCAAACTCCAAAAAGCTCAGGCCACCAACTGCCAAAAAACAGGCAGCGGGGGAAGGAGTCAAGATAGTGGCCCAAGTTCGAAACAGACCATAAACAGTCAAGGCTAAAGCTGTGAGAACCTACGGAAACACGGGCAAGATGGCGGAGCCCAAGGGAAAACGTGGGGAACGCGTTTAGCTTTGAACATTCGGACAAGGTTCCTTTTCTCTAGGGCGCTGTATGCTAAACACCATAGGTCTTCTATTCTAGGTCAGTGTAAACTTCATCTCGCTGCCTACTGAAAATATGTTAAGTATTACGGCCTCTTTTCATAGAGAAACTGGTTGGCTCTGAAAAGAGCCTTTGGATTTAAAGGAAGCACTCACTCAGGAAACTATGCCCTCTCTCCACGAATGCGGCGCGCGAGCTGGATATCCTTGGGCATGATAGTGACACGCTTAGCATGGATGGCGCACAGGTTGGTATCCTCGAAAAGTCCTACAAGGTAGGCCTCGCAGGCCTCCTGCAAGGCCATCACCGCCGAGCTCTGAAAGCGCAGGTCGGTCTTGAAGTCCTGCGCGATCTCCCGCACCAGACGCTGGAAAGGCAGCTTGCGGATCAGCAGTTCAGTTGATTTCTGGTAGCGCCGGATCTCGCGCAGGGCCACGGTGCCAGGGCGATAACGGTGGGGTTTCTTTACGCCGCCAGTGGCCGGAGCGCTCTTACGAGCCGCCTTAGTGGCGAGCTGCTTGCGTGGCGCCTTTCCCCCTGTGGATTTGCGAGCAGTTTGCTTAGTACGTGCCATGATTTATCGCCTAAGTAAGCGAACTAGAGGACTTGCCTTGCTCCTCTATTTATACAAGAACAGCATCACTCTGATTGGATTGTGGACAATTCCTGGTAGTCATCGGTTGCCACAAGCCGGAAGTGCTTGGAGGGATTTACGATTGGTTTATTCTTTCCCTGAAAGTTTTTGATTGGTAAATTTCAACTAGTAGACAATTCCCTCCTTTTAAACAATCATTTTCCAAATTATTAATTTCGTTGATAATGCTTCAGACTTTCGAGCATGACCCACAAACACATTAATCGTTTAACTTAGTATTTTTTAACTTCTATCCTGTTTGACTATACAAAAGAGAGTGTTTGAAAGAGAAAGAACTTTAAAATTCCTTTTCAAAACATCCGCCATTTTTTCTGCTTAATTAACCGGTTTTTATCAGAATGTTATACCCCTAACATCCAGTTATTTAAAAATCCGTTGTCTAAGCATCTCCTCATGAGGCCTAGTTTTATTATATTTACATATCTAATTCACTAAAACATGGTATTCTAAGATGTACTGTTTAAACGTAAGTAAATTTGTGTTCATTTTGGGTATGCGCATAAAAATTCTAGTAACTTGGAATCCCTGGCTCTTCAATATCGGCTTTAAAGTAAACGCTATATTTTTTGTTGACATCAAAGTGTCCCCCCAGGTATAATGGCAAGAGCTGTCCAAAAAAAAAAAAAAAAAAAAAAATTGCAATGTAAAATCTTGAAAAAGATGGCGGAGAAGCGAGTCTTAGGCAATTTCTTTATAATACCACAATGGCGCAGCATCTCGGGATTCCTGCGGGAGAAACCTGAGATGTCTTATCACACATCCGACAGAACGGCTGTTTGGACTGTACTCACTCAGATAACAGGACTTCTTACCTTGTTTTTCGAGTCCAAACGTTACAGTTCCCAATTATTTTGAAAATTAAAAAAGGGCGTTTAATGGAAAGACGGTTCAATAAATGCAGTTATAACATAGTATTGTAAATCAACCTATCGGATTCGCTGAAAAGGGTTCGTTTTTCCAACCAATTAAAAAAAAATTTTTTGTTATTCCTAATTTGCATACTCATAATCCATTGGCTACTTTAGTCAAATCAGCGTTTAGATTTGTAAATTGCGATTTGTATAAACGTACTATAAATATATGGCAAAGCAGATTCACAGTGACACTGGTACATCTTCCAATGCCATATATGTGAATTTGTTCCAGTGCTCGACCATCACCTTCAGAGATACTCAGGCGGCTGGCTATGCAAACTGTTTGAGGAGGGCCCCAAAGCTCTCACCAGCTCCAAGTAAAAGTTTTCTGGGTCTTACTTCTTTAGGTGTTCTTTTCAGAGTCCATATTTCTAGTGCATTTTGTAAACACGTTTTCTCTTTTTACAATTTAACCTGTTCTAAAATGTAGGAAGCACTATGACAGTGTGAGTGGTTTATTTGAACCTTTCAGTGCAAAAAAGAATTTGTGATATAGTTGTGTAGGGTAGGCAATGTGCTAAAGCTCTAAAGGTTTCTAGTATTGTTTAATTCTGGACTTTTGTAATTTTAGTCCTTAAAGCATTTAAATAGTGATGTTTTAAATGCACTAATGACCTTAAACTTATGCCATAGTTATTTAGGTTTTAAAAGGATTGTATAGTGGATACTTGTGGAATTCTCTTAATGCTTAAATTACTTGTTTTATGGTTGTTTCAAAAATGGTATGCACACTGTAATATTAATACAATATTAATTATTATGTGCTTTACAAATTTAAAGCTGTGTTTTACAGAGGTGACATAATGTCAAATATACAGTAGATACTGGACTAGTCCTGGTGAACTTTAATCTCCTTACTACTGTTACTAGCGGTGTTGACTGTTTCCAAGTTAAGTGTTCATTATCCACTTTATCTTGTGTTTGCCACGAGGCTATCTATCATTGATTTAACTTTACCTACATAGGGTTAATACATGTTCTGAAACCATTATTTTGACCCATTTTTCTTTTTTATTTTATTTTTGTATTGTCTGCCTTAAGTTGGTGTTTGTTTCTATATTCATTTAGACAGGAAAAAAATCTGTAAATGCTGGAAGCACAGATGCTATGGATAAAAATCTATTGGTTTCACATGCAAATGTTTTGAATTAGTGAAAACAAAATGAGTTAGATATTGTTCCTTTTGCATTTGAGCACATGTGAAGGCTTAAAAATGTGCTTTTCAGGTAGCCAGCAAGTCATGACCAATGTTTGTGTCATTCTAGAAGTGGGTACAGGTATGAAGGGTGCCATAATTGTGAAATAGAATATTCACATGACAAGAGGTACAAATCTATATCTGTATCTATATCTATACCTATCTACAAGTATGTATACATATATATTTAATGTTAGATTTTCTTTAGGTAAAGATTGCAGCTTCAGTTTGTCATTTCTGTTATTTTACATGGAAAGTGGATTATTGAAGATGACAAGTAGTTTGCTGTTAGTTATTTATAACTGCATAATTACCTCAAATTTAGTGGCTTCAGACAACACATGTGTTATCTTGAAGTTTCTGTGGGTCTCGGCATAGTTTAACTGTGTCCTTTGTAAGGATGCTCTCAAGGTTTGGGCCAGAGCTGTGGTCTTTTGGACATTTGACTTGGGATGGAATCAGCTTCCAAATAATCTAAGGCAATTGATATAATTTGTTTCTTTGTAGGACTGAAGATTTCATGTTCTTGGTGGCTGTTGGCTGGAGACCCTTCCAGGTTAATTAGCTGGAGGCCACCCTCAGTTTTTAAAGAGCCCTCTGAGTTTCTTGCCGTTTGGATCCCCATGATAGACACTTTCATCAAAGCCTTGACTCTTCCTTCAGAGAGAGTCAAGCAAGATGTTACAATCATAGATAGCATAATTATATACACAAAAATATTTGCATACTGTCACCTTTGATATACTCTGTGGGCTACACATAAGTCATTGATCATGTCCATATTCAAGGGCCTGGATTACACAAGGGTAAACTCCAGGAGAGGGAATCACAGGGGCCACCTTAAGAGTCTGTCCATCAAAGTTAGTTACCTATCAGGAAAAATAAAAGATGTCTAAGAACCCAAAGAAAGTTTACCAACATAACTGCAACTCTCTCCGTCACTCAATACTTTGACAATATCGGGTGCATTCAGGGTGATATGGCTGTAGACCCTCACCCAGTACTTTGGTTCAGTTAGCCATCAGGCAGGAATCTGTTCCAGGTAAGAAGGGCACTATATACCTTGAGGTGCTTTTAAATAAGCACTGCCAGTGACCTCATGTAGAAACTGTAGGAGAGGAAAAAATTCTTTTGTTTCTACCTTTCTAAGATTCTAAGTTTTCGAAGTTCTGGGCTGGGTCTCCTGTACCAGACAGATTAACAAGAGAGAAACACACAAATTTATTTAATATAAGAGTTAAATGACATGGGAGCCCTCATAAAGAAATGAAGACCCAAAGATGTTCAAGTTGAACATTTGTATCACAAATTGGATAAAGAGTAGTAAATTACGAAAACGTGACAAGACAAAGGGACTTGGGCTAGGGCAATTAATGTTAGCAAAGTAAATAAGAAGACAAGTTAGTTTAATATGGTTTGTGTGTACAGTTTTTTCTCTACCTCCCCATCTCTGGTGATAAGAATGCTACTTTCATTTTGGCATAGGGAGGGCATCTCCTGATTTCAGAAAGAAAATGAAAAGATCAGAGTGCCCTTCTTACACCTGCTGTTTTTTAAGTGCCTAAATTTAATTCAAAATAATCCCTGTGCTAATGTGGCATATTTGGAGTGGCAATATTCTGCCACCCTTCCAAGCCAAGATGGAAGACACAGTTTACCCTGTTTCTTACTTTGGGACTTTTTTTTTCTTTTCCATTTGCAAGTACTGCCACATTAGAAAACCTTTGGTGTAGCTGAGTCCTGGCACTCAGCTATTTGTTGGTGTGTATGGGTCTCTGGCTTTTAGCTGAGAAAAGAAACCAGAGAGTTTGTGAGATGAATTAAAGCTGTCTTTATTATAAAATATCAGAGAACACATTTGACAAGACATAAAACGAATCTCAAATATTTATGGATTAAAAAATATTTTAATAGTAATCAGTTTAGATCATCCAAATATAAACTACTTTAAGGGAGGGAGAAAATGTAAGCTCCCACGTGCTACCTAGGCCAGCTTGTATGTGCCCTTACTCTCCAGTTAAGATCATTCTTGCCTTTTCCTTTGGCTGCCCAGCTAGTGGCTGACCATTTGAAATCTACCAGTTTTTTGTTTTTTCCTTCTTGCTTCTTTTCTTTCTTTCTCTCTCTTTCTTTTCTTTTCTTTCTTTCGTTTTCTTTTTCTTTTTTTTTTAGATTTGAATAGGCTAATACTTAAACTGCTTTCTCAATGAATATATAAGCTTTATTTTCAGGAAAATAGTATTAACTCTGGATTTTTAAAATATATAATAGGTTGAACAAAACAATGTTTGAAGTCCACTGGATTATTTGATTATGTGAGGTATAGAAACTCTAAGAACCAGGAAATAAAGACTAGTGAAGTGTTGTAGGGGACTTGGGAATTGGGAACTTTGTATTATAAATACCATAAGGAAGGGTATAAATCCTGTAACAATGCATAACATTAAACACACTAAAATCTAGAAGGGCATGATAAACTGCATTAAACAAAGCAAACTGAGTAATTCCAGTTGCTGTTAAGCAAAAGGCGTGGAACGTGAAACACCAATCCAAAGTTACTAGCCTTTTCAAACGAATGGAGCTGAGGCCCTGAAAAGGACCTGGAGGGTTGTTCCCAATTTTGAGTTAACTGGGCTCAGACTTAGCCACCGAACCTAGGCCTAGAGAGTGTGGCCCTGCTGTTTGAGTGTGCTTTGTAGGTGAGGGCATCCGGGATCACGTTCTTCAGGAACACCGTGAGCATCCCACCGGTCTCAGGTCAGATCGGAGATCAGCTTGACCCTGCCATTTTGAGCTAGGGGCCAGAGGAC